ACTTTAAAAAGCTTTAATTGCCCCCTACTGTTTGCCTTTTAGTTCTTAGATAAGGATTCTAAAATTTCACAGTTTTATAGTAACTTCAAATCTCAGAACTCCAAATAGACATGAAGTCCTCTATCAAAGCAAAGCTAGATAGCAGCATGTAACCTTTTCTTTACCCAAGTTTCAAAGGGTGAAAAAAAAAATGTCATTGCATGTGACATTTTTCATGGGTAAATGTATCGAGTGTTAACCCTTTTCCCAATTAGGCAGAGGGCACAACACCAAACTGTGAATCACACTGGGGGAGTAGGTGACAGGGTGGGAAAACCCTCATCTACACCAGATTTGCCACAGAGTGACTCTTCCACTAATGCATCAAGCTCTGAATGTCACAGGTTGTCAGAAGAAAGGTTGAGTGTCTTTCACCTACTGCTATACTTACACCCCCCCCCCCCCCCTCCATGCAAAAAAATTAAAAATACACCACAACTACTGCCCCTTAAAACCACAAATAAGTTAATGAACTAGAATCAGTTTGCAGAGAATAATAAAGTAAAGGCATAAGAGCGAAAACCTGCTGGTGCCACTTTTTTTCTTTATAGAAACAGAGCAATGAGCCTTAATCTGTGGTTTACAGCATATAACTCTGCTGGGTTTGAATGCTTCAGGGTATCTCCGATGCAAGAGTCCTACGTTTAATTAAAAGAACTCTATAGATCTCAGGGTGTCTGCTGGGACAGCACCAAATCAAAGAGGTGATATCCGCCCCTGTCAGGTTCATTTGTGGCATTTATAGATGTATGGCTACAGATACAATCTCTTACAGTTGACATTTTTCTATGTTTTTCCTTCAGTCACTCAGATTTGTGGTCACATAAAGGTGTACCACCCTTTACCCGTGATGAGTACACCTTCAAGTTGCAGGTTTGTGCAAACTATGATAATCAATGCTGGTTTTGATGAAATGTCTGTTTATTTTATGCATATAAATAGCTGAGGTAGGTATGTGCTCACAAACAGAGGTGGCAATACTGCTCTGGTCCTATAAGATGACCAAAAATTGCCTGGTTTTCAAACAACCATTCAGTTCAAAGGTGAAAAATGTGGAACATTTAAGCCCATTTTTAGACTAAGCAGATGAAGTTGCAAATGTAAATAGTTTTTAACATTTACCGTATTGCTGAAATGAGCAAATGTTCCAGGAACTCATTTTAATTATAATAATAATTGAACTTTTTTGATCTCACATTGGAGAAATGTACCTCTGTATTTGACCCATTCCCTTAGGGAGCAGTGGGCTGCCATCGTGGGGGCACCTGGGGAGCGGTGTGGAGTTATGGGTCTTTGCTCAGAGACCCAGAGTGGCAGTCTGTGGGAGTGGGGCTCCAACTCAGAACCTCTGGATTCCAAGCTCTATGCCCTAATTACTAGGCCAGATTATATTCAAACCAACAGAAGAGAAAGTGCAGCCGGGACAGCTTTTATTTCTATGTGTCTACCGTACTCTGTAAAGAATACAGCTGACTCTGAAACTAATTCTAAACCTTAACTGTCACATTTTCATGTATCTTAGAACATTTTGTTAATGTCAGCTGATGTGTTGCACAAGCAGGTGTGTTGCACCAAAGGGCAACTATACCAGTTATCCCCCCAAAATATCCATTTATCAATCTTTTGGAAATAAACACTCAAATTATTTGGAAGAACAAGGAAAAAAATGCACAATCTGTTCGACATTTGCAAGGGATTTAATACCGATTATGCCCCGTTCTGCAGTTATCATTTACATTAGTTGTTGTTGTTCCTCCATTCCTCAGACAGTATTGTCTCAAAGAACTAAAAACCTTACAAAATAATCAAGTTGTGCATACGGACATTAAATATCCCGCCTTTTCCAGGGGAAAATTAAGTTGTTAAAAAACAATTTTGAATATTTTTAGAAAAATGTGTAGAATGTACATCCGTACGCATTGCTAGCTAAAAGCCTGATGTGGACTCATTACATGGAGATTAATATAATGTTTAATACTGTGGGGTTTTATAATGATCACTTCCAGTTCATATTCTGGCATATTTTATTTGTGAGGAGAGAACATAACAGGTAATTCAAATGATTAAGGAAATATAGTGATTGCATGGCCTTGTGTGAGACTGGATATCCTCCATAAGAAGAAAAGGACATTGCTCAAAAGTCTGGCTTTTCGCTGAAGGTCGTTTACAAAAATAATCATGCAAGATGTAGTAAAATGAAAAGTGGGCTAAAAGGTAGAGAAGCAACAAGGGTAACCAGAGACTTTTATTCCTTTTTTTCCTCTGTTGGGGGGCAGAGAGTCACCACAGTACATGCACTACCACATCATCTTTCTTGTGTTGCTAAGTGTGAAGTTTCTTTCCTATGCTGAGTTGATTTGTGACCCTTAGCCCTCCTTTAAAGTTGCGGAGTCATGTTTTTTTTACTTTATGAATTTCTGCAAAAAAAGGCTCTTCAATTAAATGATGGCACCCTGTTGGTTTATCATATTTCCTTTCTTTGTTTTACACCTTGGTTTTACTTCATTTGACTATTTACCATAAAAAGACCACCTAAGCGGAGGTACGATGCGGCATGTGTGTGCAATGGGTAAACAATGAAGTAACACCCAGCAGAGGTGCTAAAAGAAAGAGGAAAAGTCAAAGATAAAGTGTGAATAAGCGCTAACAGAATCAGATGCCATGAGGGATAGGACCCGAGTTCTGGTACAAGTGCAATATGAACGCTGCTGTTCACTGCAGAGGAGGCTAAAGCTTGCTAGCTTCCCATAGTCAATACGCATGCGCAACACGTCAGATTTGCATTAATCCATTTAATTTTGCACAAA